TTGATAAACTTTTAACACCTGGTCTACATTCTGTCACACGCATTATCCGGTTTGTGGACAGTTTGTCAACCAGTTGTCAACAATTCTGTCATTGGGAAGTCATTAATCTGTGGCTTGTGGTTCTACAAATTTGTGACAAAATCAAGCCATCGGTTTCTATGCGGGACATCGTAAACAATCAGGAGAACGAACTTGCGCGCAAGAAATCGCGATCAAACGTGTTCAATAGCACGATTTTAAAAAATTGCCCCTGGGAGATAGGCAACCCTGTACACACATGGGGCCTGGCAATGGTTCCGCATCTCAAATCGAAGGTACGGGTGTAGAGAACGTTCGTGCCGAACGGCAACCCGGTATCCCGATCTGCAAGGTGAAATTGACTAACCACTGATCGAGCGGCCGTCGGGGTCCCTCGCCGATGGCGGCTGTGTCATAGGAAGATAGCGAGCCTTTTAAATATTCGCGCGGAGGGTTAGGTTTGCATCGAACATGTGCTCCACTCATCGTGGTGCCGAGTTTTAAAAAATTTCTAAAGTACTGGCGACTCATCAAAAATATTGTGAAAATAGTGACCTGCATTAATGCCAGATACGTGTGGACTCGTTCAAAGTGGATTTTTGTCACCGATTGCTGTGAAAAACGTGGATATTCTTTTGGAGCGGCCTGGACCTCGAGGAGAGCACATGCTTTGGAAAAGCGCATGTTCCCCAACTTCTCAACTCAAGAAACAAGACAGTGATTGTGTCTGTGTGTGCGTGTGAGAATATCACAGTTTTTAGTACAATGATCTGAAGAGTGACTTCAAGATGTAATTGTGATTGTATGGATTACTTTTCGACGGACTCGAGGTAGGTGCGGCAACTCCAAGGTGTCCCCTCCAAAATAATTATAAACAAAAAAGATTTAAAAAAAGGGAAAAGGGAAATTAAATGTTTGAAAAATTCAAAACTTTGTCACAGAGGATAACAGTCAACCAGCATTTGCCCTTGAAAATACTGACCTTTCGGATAGTAAAGACGCGTTGTCCATCGCGGAACGTATTTGCAAAGATATTTCAAAATTTCCAGTTGCTATCTTAACTGAAAATGTACATAACGCTTCTTTTCTTAAAGTCATTGCCACTACTGAATTAAAATTGTGCCCACTCCCCAGTGTTCGAGTTTTGGCACGGGAAGACGAGCTTCAGGCATACCAACCTAAAAATTGCAAATTAAAGGTAGAGACCGTACCCAATTATCTATCGAAGTTGCTCAAGGATCCTTTGCGTAAAGAAGTCGCTCTTCAAAGCGTAGCAGACTTATTCTTTACTCTTGCTGAAGGCATAAACGAGCTCCGTGAAATAGATGCTATTAAAAATTTTAAATAGATTATCCAAATTTTGTTTTCAATAATGCCAAAGGAAGACGCACTTTTAGTAGCGTGGACAGAGTGCCAGACAGTGGAAGGCTTTGTTCGAGATTTGAGTCAATATAAGCAAAATATGGAAATAAAAGAAAATAGACTTAAATCAGAAAATGTCGAGGACTTAACCCAACGAAAATTTGATGAGTTACTAGTGAGCATTGGAAAGAGAAAGATGCCAGTGACGGTAAAATTTTAACAGTGGATAGGATGACTAGCAGAGTTAAGCAAATATGAAAAGACTAGAGGACTGTAATGATTATTATAGGGATTAGTATGGTGCTAGTGATGCTTATTTTGAAGAGCACGAATGGGGCGGTGACCCTCCTTATTTTGAAGATGATGATGGTGGGAGACAGTACTACGGAGATGAGGACAGGTGCGGCCCAGGTGAGGAAGGCGGCTCTTTTCAGCAGCCGTACAAGCGGTTGTTTCGCTTGTGAGAATTCAGAACATGTAATTGCTCAGTGCCCTCGGGTACAGGATTTTTGCCAGTAAGCCAGTCTCCATTAAAGACAGTCACACTTAGAAATAAAAATTTCAAAAATGACCCTCTTGTTTCTAGTAAGTATATTTTAATTGAGATACCTCAAAATGATGCAAATAATTTTTATGACGCATTATCATATTCATTGTATGGTAATGTTCATGGTTCTGGTGCCTTACGGCAAGTAATCGCTAGATATGTCAGGGACAACTGGCATGATTTCGCGAATATTCCTTCGTTACATGGTGTAAGTAAATGGGATTATTTTAGAAGGCATAGCAGTGGCGCAAGTGCAAATATTATTCAAGTGATTGGAGCAAAGGAAGTACTTAAAGTGAACATCACTGTTCAAAGGAAAAATGCAGAAGTGCCATTTTTTTTGCAATTCAGGAATACCATGTGCGCATGTTGCACTTCGACTAACGGAATAATTTTTCTCTGGCTGCCATTTTGATGCGAGGGTTTCGATCGAAAAATTCAGACATCGGATTGCGTTGAGTGACCAGAGGCACGGTCATTTCCCGCAGAAAAAGGAAAAGCTCGAGGGGGCAATAACTCCCTTTTGATGTGTACACATGATTCCCGAAATATTTGATTCCCAGTGATTCCCGTCCACTAATAGTCATTCCTTAGGGTTTCTAGTGGTGGAAAACGCGTAATTCGACTAATTTGTATCAGTTCCATTAGTTTCCCCCTTAGTTTAAACGATTTCTGTTGATTTCGAATATTTTTTATCGAGATGATTCCCAGGCAGATGTACACATGATTCCCGGAGTTATTGCCCCCTCGAAAAAGCGTGTGTCAAATTTCCCTCGGCGGGCGCAGGCTGTCGTGAGACACGGCCATGCGGTGGCAAACGCTGACGTATCCGCAGCAATTCTCGGGAGAGAAGCGCTCCGGCGAGTGCCAGTAGGAAACCCACAGCCGGCGTCAAGTATCGTTCAGGCGCAATAAACTGAATTGCGATGACTCTTTTGCTTCCCCTGATGGATCAACGATTCAACGCTTGTCACTAGTGTACACAAAGAGAAAAAGAAGAAGAAAGCGATTCAAATTCAAACGTTTCAGATCTTTACGATGTCAAAATATTAAAATGGGGATCCGTGATTCAACTGGTTTTTGGCTGACTACGAGAAATGTGAACGAAGGGCAGTCGTGGTAACGAGAGGATAGGGACTCTTGCTCTTTTAATAAAGTCTTTTGACAAGTAGGCGTACTTAGAGAATGGCATTATTTTGGGTGTTGTGTACTTTGCACCTTCATTTTGCTTTAGAGTTTGAGTGTGTTTTTGAAATGTTCAAACTTCGAACAATTTTCGTTGTGGAATCATGATAGGCCTATAGCCCTAAAGTACTGATAGTGCCCCCTTCCCCCTCCCCCCAGCTCGCGCCCTCGCGGACTTTGCTGCTCGTCCCCCCCCCCCCTGTGTTTCTTCCCCTCTCCCGCGCGTGTCCTCTGCGTGGTCAAGTTTCGCTGCGGCGTTATGTCTCGACCCGGTGGATCGCTCAGGTCTACCGCGAGGTGCTGTCAGAGAGTGTGTGTGAGAGAGAGAAAAAGAGAGAGTGTGTGTGTGAGAGAGAGAGAGAGAGACAGAGACAGAGACAGAGTGAGCGATTGAGAGTGAAAGAAAAGGGCAAAGAAAATTATTTACCAAAAAGTGTGATAGATATTTGAAGGGAGCACCAGGTAAAATGGGTAAAATACTATTAGAAGTGCATTAAACCAACATGTCAAGGAAAAGGACTGATGTTGTGTTGTGAGAAAATTGTCAGGTGCTGGCTGAACGTTCAACTGTAGCATTAAATTAGTTTATTGCCGGCTTAGATAGGGACCTAGGCTTTATCAGGTTAAGGAGTTTAACAGTGTAACAGATTAACAGTTTAGCAGTTGTTGCATATTCGTATTTTACAGCCGTAGACGGCTTGCGAATGCTGAAATAAGTGTTTTTAAGGTATAATTTTGCTTTTGACACCGACAGAAACCGTAGAAACCAGAAACCTAGACCCTAGACAGAATGTAAGCGGTCGGTACGGAGAGGAAGGAGAGGTGGGGGGGGGGGCGAAGGCTGGAAAAACGAAGAACGAGAAGGCGCGTGAGTGGGCGTGAGTTGAGGTTTGTTTTGGCGGTAAAAGCACACGGTACGGTGTTAAAATATCCTCGCGAAAGAGCCTAGAGCCAAACTAGTGAAACAAAAATGATTTATAACAACGATGAAGTGAACTATTCGCTGTATGATGTTAACGGCGATGTTTATAATATGGTGATAAAGAAAAAAGACGTGCCAAAATATGACTATGGTAAGTCTTGCAAGATTGAGCTCTTTAGGTTAAGAGTGTTCGTTGTACCTGTTTTCTTTACTTGTTTTAATTTCTTGTCACTAGATAATTTGGCAACATACAGAGCGTTACAGAAACTGAAAAGGAATGGGCAGAAACCAGTCAATCGTCAACATGAGGACCCGTCGTCAGCAGGTAGTAACACAGTGACCTGTGTTTCCTATCATTGTGGAAGTGTAGACTAATCTTGATCACCAGTCAAGCCAATGGGAAAATTAATACTCATGTATTTCTTTCAGATCTCAGAAGCCCCGTTGAGAAGAAATCGCGTACAGCCTTCCAGCCTATAGGTGAATCAACTTTGATTGCAGACGATAATGGTAAAGTCATCACCTTTCACTTACCGGGCTGTTTTCTTGTGAATAATCATGCTCTAAGTTGTGCTATTTTAATGCTCAGATCACAATCTAGTGGCCCCTCGAGCTGTACGGAGCTTAAATGATTCGTTTGAAGCATCCCTTATTCTCAAAGAAGGAGGCGACGATGATTATGAAGTAGTGCTTCTACATGATGACAATGAAGAAGGTAGTTTCAAGGTTCTGCCTTTTCACGATGAAGGTGGGGCAGAAGTTGTACCAGAGTTTGATGTGGTGCCGCTACAAGAGAATGATATTGGAGCTCAAGGTAGTTTCGATGTATTGCGTCAACAAAATGGCACTGGTAGAGCTCAAGCTGATGTGGAGGAGGTACCTGTAGCTGAAGGTGACTATCCAAGGCAATTTTCTTGACTACGTGGCTGCTGCTCAGTTGCCCTTATGCGCTTTATCATTTGAGGGATCCTAGAGTCCTCTTGGTCGGAGGAAAATGCATGTCACACTTTCCTGAACCTTCTGGGAAAGAATGTAAAGGAGGTGCAAAAAAAAAGGAAGAAAGGTCTTTTCGAAAAAAATTCAAAAGATTTCACGCTTGTAGGCTTCAATTTCAGTGTAGACCGGTTGTACGATAAGAAAAGAATACTGGATGCATCATATTGCGCCTATAAGAAAAAAAGTGAAGACTCTAAACAGAAGTGGGAATACTTTGCCGCTTTGGATAACTTAAGCAAGTGCCAGTGGCCAGAAGGATTTGAATCGAAACCTCTGTGGTCAAAGGCTGTTTCTCACGGTGAGTAATGTGTTCACTCAATCACCCTATTAATGTGTCTCCCATCTTTACTTACTTGCTGGTTTTGTCTATATCAGAGGTCGATCCTGACGAAGGTGACTTGGGCAGTGATGTCGAAAATGCCTGTTCAAATGAGGCTGTATGTGGGGAACTTGATGAGGCACCTGATCGAGCACCTAATAATACTTTTCCTGAAAATGATTACCTATACGAAGAGGACGCGGAGATTGATTTAAATGTACCGGACACACCATTAATAGTACCTTTATCCCATCCCACCCATGAGCCTCCAAAATCCAAAGGTTTGTTTTTCCACTGTTGTGTGATTTTTGGCTCATTTAAGTACATGTACTCTATGACATCCTTTCTTTTACAGCCTAGGAAAAGCTAGAGGCTGACAAAGCATGACTTGAAGAGGTTACTGAATGTAAGGAGTTCTTTATCGACCAACCTTTACTGAAAAATTCTGACTTGTTCAAAGAAGTTGCTTCACATCACGTCTAGTGAAGATAGGTTACACCACTGTCACTTGGTTGAAAGCCCAGCAGAGATACAATGCTCTTATTAAAAAATTCCACGAAGAGTTTGATAGATTAGGGGGAACAGGCGAATCATCGTGTGCGTGGCCACTTTATGACCTTGTGTATGACCTGGAGAAAGGGAGTGTGTCGACAAAGGCTAAAATAACAGTGTCTGCAGGCACTAAAGCCAACATTAGTAAGTCCTATGCTTGTGTTGAAAATTTAAGGAAGGGGAGACTTAGAGCCCCCAATGATACACGGCAGCAGAGGGGCCCGAACGCAAAAGGCAAGGATTCCAAATCCCAGGACTCAAAAGACAAGGAATCAAGAGTCAAGAGGCTCATGGGCCCTGCACCACCTCCCTCTGGCAAGATGGGATACCAGAACACTCTCCTTGATCTTCAACAGCAAAGATTAGAGCTGAAAAAGTCATTTGTGCAACAATTCACAGGCTTTCGGGTTGAGGCGAAGGAGAGGGGTGATAACTTCAAGAAGGGCATTGATCTTCTAAAAGAACTGAAACAACAAGGCAGCTCAAAGCAAACAGATGAAAACAATAATTTTTGTCTTTTTTGATACTTCCGTTGCTGACTTAATTTTTTTTTCTTTGATTTGAAGTTATCCACCAATGTCTTATGTTTAATTAGGTTTTACGTGCCTTTTCTATTTGTAATGACTAGATTCTTAATTATTATCTTAGGTTTTTGTACCTGAACGGACTGATTACATTTCAGTAGACTGATTATATCTATATTATCTTTTTCTATGAAAGTGTACTTTATTTTCTTATTTAATCGATCATTATCAATGTTATTTAGTAATAATAACCAACTGATCTTGTCATTAATCTGTAATACTCTATATTGTTCCTTAAATATTTACCAAGTATAAGTAACTCAACATTTATAAATCAGTCTCATTGTTCTTCAGTAATCCTTCATTTTGCTAATCATCACCATACAATAGGTTTAATTATCTGACAAAATCAACTCTATTCTCCCTTCCTCGAAGTTTTGCATTAAGAACCATGCGATGCACGTTAGGATTCAACAGTTGTTCTCCATTTAAAATCATGAAATTGTGCAGTACGAAGCAAGACACAATATGATCCACGGCCAGTTCCAGATTGGCAGTATGAAGCATTTTCATTCGTCTCAACTGCCCAAAAGCTTTTCCGAATGCATGTTCAATCCTGACTCTAGATTTGCACAGACAACGGTTATACAAGCGTTGTTCTGCTGTTAAATTTCCCTGGTTTCCCGCGTAAAAATCTAAGGCTTGTTTTGGACCCATTCTCGTCGTTTTCCACTAGTCTGATAACGACCAGCATAGT